TTGCTGATGATGTTAAATTATTTTCATGCGTCAACTCCATTGATGATTGCATACGCCTTCAGAGTGAATTCAATTGTTTATCCACCTGGTTAGAGAACCATGGACTATACCTCAACATCAGCAAATGTCAGATTATGTCCTTTACTAGACGCCAAGCTACTATTCTATTCGATTATTCTCTTAACAACCATTCCATAACGCGAGTTACTGTAAAGAAAGATTTGGGTATCCTTCTAACTTCCAACTTAGACTACCACTCCCACATTGAGCACGTCACCTGTAAATCTTTAAAGACATTAGGTTTTATAAAACGCTTCTCTTCTAATTTCAATCTAACCTATTCTCTCAAAAATTTATACTGTGTGCTTGTAAGGCCGATAATAGAATATGGTTCCATTCTTTGGGATCCTTATACAACCTCTGACTCTTCCCTACTTAAGCGTGTTCAGCGTAAATTCCTTAATTTTGCATCCTTTTGTCTTAATATCCGTCATGAACCTCACGATTATTCCCCAGTCTTACACCACTTACAACTTAGTAGTCTTTCCGATAGAAGAGTATTTGCCAACATTATCTTCCTAAATAAACTTACGAATGGTACCATAAATGCTCCCGAGCTTCTCGCTGAGGTAAACTTTCGTGTTCCAAGTAGGTCTTCCAGGCTAACGGCCCCCTACTACGTTCCTCGACACACCACTAACTATGGCCGAAACCACCCTATCCACCGAATGATGCGTTTAGCAAATGAGAACCTCTCGAGTCTTTAATCTTTAGTCTTTGTTTTATATCAATATTATTATAATGTTTTGTCTGTATCTTATTCCATTAACTGTACTTTGGGCTAGTCCCGTAATGTAAAATAAATAAATAAATAAAATAAATAACAGCGGTTCCCAAACTTTTTAAGTTCACGCCACCCTAAAAATTAAAAAAAATAATTGCGCCTCCCATAAAAAATTAAATTACAAATTTATAGTATTTAAATATACAAGTTAACAGTAAATATTATTAAACTTCAATTTAAAGTATTACAAAATGCAATGAGTATTAATATTTAAACTTAATGCGAACAATGTGCTTGTTTTCTGTTTAATAATTCTTCAAAATTAGGTAGCAATGTTGTGACAGCCACACGCATTTCTTTTTCAATATTACGTTTTGATCGATATTTTGATTTCAATACAGCAACTGCAGAAAAGCCTGCTTCGCATAAATACGATGTCGCAAATGGTAGTAGTACACGCAAAGCTTTGTTGGATATTTCAGAATATTCATCTTTAATGCTGCTCCAAAATTGTTTAGTGAGCTCATTGGTAATTCAAGATCCTTATCTTCAAGAAAACTTTTTAAAAATGAAAACTGGTTGATTGTTTTTCTAATTGTTCACGTTGCCTCACAAAATAATCACGTTTTTTATTAATTAACGATCCATGATTAGTTTCAAAATGACGCTTTAATTTATTTGGAATCATACTATCGGCAGCTAATACTTTTAAACAAATAACACATTTCGGACGTTCTTCGTTGTCTATTTTAATGTAAATAAAACCAAAGTCTAAATAACTATCATCGTATTTTCTGAACTTACGTTTATTTTCTTCTTTATTGTTGTCTTCATTTAAACGCTTGGTTGTACTCTTAATATTAAGAAATTTTTCCAGAAAAGATATAAAACACGAGTTGATAATGCGCAATTCGAAAATGACGAATACACCTTACGTACGGTTCATTCACGACGACTACTGCTGCTATTGAAGTGCAAATATATTAATATTGGTCATTACTCATTACAATTCTACACTATTAGGTAGGTAGGGTAGACGCAATAATATTCGGTTATCGATAATGCGATAATGCTGTAACGACATTTACGGAAATCACCGAATCAAGTATATTATTGTACGAATATAACGCGACTTTAAGTAATACCATTGATTTTATAATACATAGTTAAGCAATTCTATAGAGTAATTTGGTTTATTATTATTTTTTTTCATCAGTATGAAATATTTGTTTGCAATAGTTATGAGTTATGACATTTCAACAAAATTATTGTTGATTCAAAAATATCAATATTTACCACGCGGCTCGCGCCTCCCCTGCCAAAAGCTTGCGAATCCCAAGGGAGGCGCGCCTCACAGTTTGGGAACCGCTGATCTATAATCTATACAAATACGATAGTGAGTATACTACGCAACATGACAGTTTAGGACATCTAGGATCTAGGTTATTACTTATTGACTATTGTTATATTTCATTTATCGTGTTTACTTGTTCAACGTGAAAGTGTGAAGCACGAAACTAAACGTAATACGTTTATTATGACGAATAAAAAACTTACTGTAAAGCGTACTATAAGAAAAATAACTACTAGGACTCTAGTTCAAAATCGGTGGTCCAATCGTATTTTAAGGTAGGCCATTGATTTATTAGTTATAATAATTTTTAAAATTGTACCTAATTGTACGCAATAGCTCACATTATTATATTTCCAGTATTATAATATTATCATAATTAATAAATGTAAGTAATACTATTAATTTGCATGGAGCTATTGTTCGTATATATATATTCTTTAGAGAAGCAGCTAGTACGTCAACAGACGATGTTGAAAGCGTACACGCTGCAGACTTTGTTATACCAACTATGTAAGTAAAACTACTAAAAATGATTTATTTTTTATACAATACAAATGAAATATCGTTGGTCACAATTTTTTTGATAAGCGTTTAAAGTTCAAATTTTTATAATAATATGCCAAAATCGCAAAAATTATAAAGTAATTTTGTAATTAAAAATGTTATACACCTATTATATATTATTATATTATAATATTTAAAATACATAATATAGGTTGACGCGGTCCCTCGCAAAATTTGTTTGAATTCAAACAGCCTTTGCGAGGAAGCCGCGCCCTGGCTTCTCAATCAAACCGCCAATCGACGACGGACGACGCCGGCGCGCGACATCCGTGCCTGGAAACGTCGACCGGCCGTTTGATGAACCGGCTCGGACAACTCACTCGTTTTCTTCTCAGCGCCCCGGACAGACCTCCGCACACGTCCCTGTAAGTCTGAAACCACTACCATAGTAGTACACTTTATCCGATACCGTTTCTCGATATATTTATTGAATGATTTTGTACATCAAATAGAAAAAAACTGAACTACACCAGTGCGTCGTTGTTGTTTTTTTGTGTTTCTTTTGGTTACCTTCACCATCCACGCGGCACCCCACAGGTCCGCATCAAGGTACACTATTTTTTGTATAAGTGTTTGAAGTTACAAGTTATAATATTTATCAGATCCTTAAAAATTACCGCGTATTAGTAAAAGAAACTTATAATTACATAGTGTCATAGTTAATAAATTTTAAAATGAATTAATTTGTTAATTGGCAACTTATTGTTCCTATATATAATATATTCTTTAGAGAAGCAGCGCTAGTACATCAATTAATGATGTAGAAAGTGTAAACGCTGACTTTGTCACACCAATCCTGTAAGTAAAACTATTGAAATTGATTTGTTTATAAACAAATCAAATAGATTATTTTAATTTTTATATTTTTATCCCATTAATATAATATATTTATTATACCTATGCTGTTATTATTTTACAGTTTTACTAAGTAAAGTTTTACAGTATTAAAAAAAAATTTTTAAAAACCTAATTAATTATATTGTTTATTTATATTAATTATAATTTTTTTATTATAAAATGTGTATTCATAAATGATAGCTTTACGTATTCTCCGATATGTACTGAACAGTTTGAAATAGAGAATTATAATTTAATTAACCTTGTGACGAAGATATATAAGTATCTATATTCTATCAAAGTAGTAATAGGGGCACTTGAGCACACTTTTTAAAAAGACTTTTTGGCCCACCAAATACAATTTTAATTACTATTATAAAAAAATAAATGTAAAATAATTTAAAACTGAAAATTTCTGTAATCAGCTCAAAACGAATTAAAATATTTTGAAAATTTAATGGTATGTAGAAAATGCCAATATAAACATTCTTTTTTAAAAGTGTGCTCAAGTGCCCCTATTACTAGTTATAAAAAATTACCAAATGGAGTATCAAAAAATGGTCAAACAGTTAAGTTTGTAAGTATAAATAACTAATTCTAATAAGACGGAACTTAATAATTAATTACGATTGGTTTTTTTTAGATTTTACATCGAATGTTTACTCCCAGAGTTGGTAATGCCTCAATATGGTAAACGGTTATTAATCAGTGATATTCGTGAACCAGATCACATTAAAAATTAAATAATTAAAGCCTAATAAACTTGATAAATACCTAGTTTTTTTTTTTTTTTGTTAAATTCATCAATAATTTTTTTTATTAGTTTTTTGTTATGATTACTATATATGTAGAGGGAAATGTGAGATTAAATTTAAATTATGGAATGGTATTTTTATATTAATTAAGAAGAACAAGTGAAGAAGATCTACTCAAGCTACAAATATTACACAATTGTTTATTGTGTTTTTTGTATTTAACGTATCAATATTGATAATGTAACTAAGTTATTAAAATAATGATGTACATAAATAGTTAATTGAATTTTAAACATTTTTTTACTATCTATGTACATAGCTACACATGACTAATAAGGTAGAAAAGCAATTCTCTGTATATAGAAGTCTATCTATCCATTATACATTTATGCGAGTTGTGAGAGCACCCAGGTAATATTGTGTAGAAACGAAACGCGAGATCCTAACGTTACGATCGCCAATACAATAATAATGCACCACTCCGTCACGATAATACTCGCGCCTCTCTCGGTGTCCACACTACGAGAAAATGGATGGGGCTGACGACCCCGAGACGGCGTGCAACGCCATCTCTGGAGCGTTGCATATGTTTTATTTTCATCCTCTTAACAATATTTGTATTTTTTTTGTTCATAAAGAATTAATTTTAGTTGTAAAAATGACTAAGTATTTAGTTGAAAGAAAAAAAATGTGTTTAAATTAAAAATCAAAAATTATAGAAGTTGGTCAATAACTCCGGATTGGACTGGATACATTTTTTAAGATATATTGCAGCTTCATGATAATTCTTCAAATACACTAAATCCAGTTCCAAATTGAAATCAAAGTTCTCAGGCTTCAGGTTCAAAAACTTTTTGTATGTTCCAACCCACAATCCTGCAAAATGTTTAAAGTTTCTGTACACTCTATTCTTAAATTGATTTATAGATTCTTTTATTTTGTTTACTTTTAATATTAATTTTCCATCCTCATTACATACTTTATATAATTCGAATTTTAGACTTAAAACACGGACATAAGCTACTTCAGCTGCGATTAAGTGTCTGAAATAAGAAATAGGCATAATCTGTCCGTGCACCCACGTGATAAGATTTTATTGTACATACTTTAAATTAGTATTCTTTTCCTACATTATTTTCTGATTTTTTTATTGCAACTATTGCAAAGTTACTTAAAAATTCGGCATTTTTGTTATTAATATTTTTTTTAAATGTTTTTTTTAGAAAAGTGTTTTTAAAAAAAAAAAATTATTTTTTTATTTTAAACATTAAAAACCATACCAAATTAAATATTTTAATGTTATATTTATTTATGCAAATAGCAAATTAGCAATTAAGTATCAAGAAACAACTACTTACATCACAAAATTAACACTTCAAAACTGCAATCAAAATAATATGTTAATATTATTTGTCCTATTTTAATATGGCCCTTGGGTCATAGGTCTTTGTTCATTCCGATCAATGTACCGTGTGTGCCCGCTTGTGTACCATAAAATGTCTATTTACACAGAATTACTTGTCGCGTAAATCATACGGTTTTTCACCAGAGTGTGTGCGTCGATGTGTCGTCAAATTGCTACTATAACTGTCACATATATCACATGCGGACGGGCTTTCTCCAGTGTGCTTTTGTTTGTGGGCCGTCAAATTGCCACTTAGGCTCTGTACACACGTGCGTTATTTTGACGTGTAAAATTCTATTCAATTTCTGCTTTTTAATGAGGTAATATTAATATTAATAAACTACAAAACTTATGTTTTGAACTATACAACTTTCTGTATATCTAACTATTAATCTAATTTTGTATTTTTTTTATCATGTGTAATTAAATTATTAAATATACTCTCTCTGCCAAGAGACGCTACCAACATCAGATACAAAATAATTGGTAAACAAGTTGCGAATACGAGTTGATTGCAGAGTAGGTCTAGTAGTTGCTGTTCTGATTCCCTCATTATGTGCAAACTCTACACTCATGGCGTCTTCAATGTGAAATCCATCTCTAGTCCTCACATAACTATGTAGTTATGTAGACTGCAACATTTTTTTATAATAAGTTTAGCTAAATCTAAACATCCGTTAATGGGTCTATGGAAAATTTTCCATTTGTTGGAAAGTATACCAAATGTACTTTCTACATTTCGGCGAGCACGGGACAATCTATAATTAAAAATTCTTTTTTCTTCTGACAATATTTTTCCACTGTAGGGCCGCATAATGTGTTGAGAAATGGAAAATGCTTCGTCACCGACAAAAATATAAGGAAGGCTTAGATTTTCAGTTCCTGGAAGAAGTTGACTAGTCGGAATATTCAATTCATTATTTTCTAGTTTCTTAAAAAATTTAGTTCTTTCAAATATAGTGCTGTCGGCGTCTTTTCCGAAAGAACCAACGTCAATATATATAAATTTGTAGTCCGCATCAGCCATAGTTAGTAACACAATCGAATAATAATTTTTATAATTGTGAAACAGCGATCCACTTAATTTCGGTTTGATTATTCTGACGTGTTTCCCGTCAATCACGCCTATACAATTCGGAAATTGGGTTCTCTGATAAAAACAATCAGTTATATTGGTTGCTATTGGTTAATCTGGCATGTTTGTTGATTTGTATTATTATTTTTTGTCAATATATCTTATATATAAATGAAGGTTGAACTTTGGATTTTGGGTCTGGGAAAAAAAACGCGAAAAAATTTCTAAGTCCATATCACATCTATAATATTATCACTACAGCAATACTCTGCAGTGTTGCCATAATAATAATTTTATGTACCACAATAATAATTTTATACTACGTAATAATCACAAAAGTATTCTAAGTTCAAAATAATCAATTTATTCACTCGTTCATTTTCCAAAATATCGCTGCTCAAATTAAGTCCAAAATAATATTTCAAAAGTGCCAACTATAACGACCACCTAGGCTTTCGGATTTTTGATTTTTCCATTTTCCGACCGCTTTTCACGGATCTACTTATAGCTTATGGGTCTGGGAAAAAATGTCGAAAAATCGAAAAACGTGTAAGAGGTTTTATATTCGTATGCCGTTATAGAAAAATATCCTGTAGTCGGATTTTTCATTTTTCGATTTTCCAACCACTTTTCACGGACCCCCTTGGCTTTTGGGTCTGGGAAAAAATGTCAAAATATCGAAAAACGTCCAAGAGGTTTTTTATTCGTATACCGTATTAGAAAAATATCCTGTAGTCGGATTTTTCATTTTTCGATTTTCCGACCACTTTTCACGAAGCCCCTTGGCTTATGGGTCTGGGAAAAAATGTCGAAATATCGAAAAACGTCTAAGAGGTTTTATATTCGTATGCCGTTATAGAAAAATATCCTGTAGTCGGATTTTTCATTTTTCGATTTTCCAACCACTTTTCACGGACCCCCTTGGCTTTTGGGTCTGGGAAAAAATGTCAAAATATCGAAAAACGTCCAAGAGGTTTTTTATTCGTATACCGTATTAGAGAAACATCCGGTAGTCGGATTTTTCATTTTTCGATTTTCCGACCACTTTTCACGGACCCCCTTGGCTTTTGGGTCTGGGAAAAAATGTCGAAATATCGAAAAACGTCTAAGAGGTTTTTTATTCGTATACCGTATTAGAAAAATATCCTGTAGTCGGATTTTTCATTTTTCGATTTTCCGACCACTTTTCACGGACCCCCTTGGCTTTTGGGTCTGGTAAAAAATGTCGAAATATCGAAAAACGTCTAATAGGTTTTTTGTTCGTATACTGTATTAGAAAAACATTCGGTAGTCACATTTTTGATTTTTCCATTTTTCCACAGTTTTTCACGGACCCCCTTGGCTTTCGGGTCTGAAAAACGAAAAACGTCTAAGAGGTTTTATATTCGTATGCCATTATAGAAAAATACCATGTAGTCGCATTTTTCATTTTTCCATTTTTAATTAATTATTTTTATTATTAAAACGTAATAACGTAACGTAACGTTCTTCGTTACATAAAAATATTCGTATTTGAATTGCATTCGCCTTACTTGAAATTATTTTTATGACTAGTACGTTACTTTCCTTTTTCATTTAAAAAGTAGAGCTCCACAAATATCGTTAATTTTTAAAAATTAAAAATTACAACTGCCCACGAAATGTACATTATTTATTTTATTAAATATATCAAACAACTATAATATTATTGTTGTATTTAATAAATATATTGTTTATTTTAATGTCTTATATCATATTTTTTTTAAATATACAATAATATATTTATTTAATATGATATAATCATAAGAACTTTAAAATGTGGTGGCCCTAAAAAGGGCCGTTTTAAATGAGTGCGCTAATCACGCAGCGGCGGATCGTCGAAGTTATCTGTGGAAATAAAAATTTAATATTATTGGTTTTTTATAGTTTATATGCACCTAGAGTGGAAATTTATCTGTGGAATTAAAAACAATATTATCGGGACATAATATTAACCTAGGTATACAAAATTATATTTCATAACATTTTTTTTTACCAAGGTAGGTTAGGTTAGGTACCTCTAGCATTCTGGACAGTGACAATCGTCAATGTCCCGTTTCATTGGTTCGTATCCAATGCCCGGATATACCCTTGCAATGTCGTTCATAAACCTTTTGAAACGGTCGCTGGTTGTTGGAAGGCGGTTCAGTATATTGGTCCGATACATCCATGTATGAATCCGCCACCCGCTTGCAATTGCATCTTGTCAAGATGCGTTTTAATTCCCTCCACGATCTTTCTATATGCTGCGTGTGGTAGCGGATTGGTTCTTGGTTTGGTGGCCGAACTCCTTCCCACTGCTTATCTAAGCACTCTTGGCTAAATCTGCCAGTCCCTACCCAAATTGGTGGCTCATTTTTTGGAGGCTCTACAAAGTTGATTGAATGGTTTACCACTCCATGACCACTAAAATGAATTAAAAATATCTGTTATATTAAAAAAAAATGTACTGTAGGTTTCAATCCTGAATATTATGTTTTTTTAAATTGTATTTGGTTATTATTTTAATAAATTTATTTTATTTATTTATTTTCATTTTTTTAATACTATACTACTTATATATTACTTTATAATATTTACCTAAATACATTACCACATTGACCATAAGCCCTCCACATGTCACTACATATAAATGCATCATGATGAATGTATTTTTGCATCAGCAGAAGGAGCGTGTCAGTTGACCTGTCCGGGACTATAGTACCAAATACTTGTTTGGTAGTACGACTTATACCACCTTAATCATTATATTACAAATTTCTGTATTTATTATCTCACAAATTATGATTTATAATTTATGATTTATGATTTTTTTTTTCAATTACCAAATAACCACACAGCATTCCATGCCATAACACGCCCGACGTTGTATTTAGCTCTGAACAAATACGTCTCATCTACTTCCACGATATCGTGTTCATTGCCGATCATTAGGTAGTCGTGGTTCATTATTTTAGTGGCTACGTCCCTAAAATATTCAGTATAAGCAACCGCTGTTTCTGTAGATATATTCACCTAGTATTCAAAAACATATTTATTTATTTATTTAAATTCCGCGAAAATAAGTAAATAAATTACATTATTCACAAAAGTATTATCAAATTGAAAATAATAATAATAGTAAAATTATACAATAATAATAATTATTATAGTTATTGACATCGCGCGTTATATCATAAGCGCAATTTCAATAAAAAAAAAATATTTATTTCTTAGGTACCTATCTTTTGCTAGATTAGTTACAACTTACAAGTTATAAAATGTTTCTACTTGGTAATTATGTATTATAAAAATTAAAATGAATTTACCTCTTGTTGGATCGTTGCTGTGTCCGAACTAATTAACCACAAATAAATCATTTGCACTATTTTATTGCAGCCCAACTCTCCAGCAGTATGTACATACTCTAAAAAAGTATTTTTGGTTGGATTTATTTTATGGCCACCCGCGCATTTGAACCTGTAGCCGAGTTTCCGACTAGAATCATTAACTCGATACATTGGTCTTCCACATCGACATTCAGGCACATCAAAATCACTCGGAATTATGCCAAAATAGGTGAAGATAATTTCACCTTGCCTCCCAGATAAAATACGTTGCTCTTCAGTTATACTAGGTCCTAAAAAGGCACCCAATGCAAATACTGAGACACAATCTGGTTGAAGCAACGTGTTAATATCCATAGTAGTATAGTATAATAATTAACAAAAGTACAAAACACTACTTTACGACTAGAAAACTAAAATCGAAATGACGACTTGAAGGGATTTCAGCGAATATACGCCCAAGACGGCTAAAATTAAACACGTTGTTTTGACTGGATCTATCATGCACACCCGATAATTTTAATAATAAATTATAATGGTTAGTTGATAGTCTGTTCCTGGTAACTTGTACTATTAACGTATTTTATTACAACGTTTTAATAATAATAATTTCATTAAGACAACGTCAACCGATACGCTGCTACCAATCATGCAAAAATATAATATACACCACGATACATTTATATGTATACTGATATGTGGCGAGGGTATGAGGATATGAGCAATGTGGCAATGTATTTAGGTATATATTGCTATTAATATTATATTTGTAATTTAATAATTAAGCTGGTATAAGTCGTACTACTGACGGTTGTCACTGTCCAGAATGCTAGAGGTACCTTTTTTAGGGCCACCACATTTTAAAGTTCTTATGATTACATCATATTAAATGAATATATTATTATATATTTAAAAAAATATGATATAAAATAAACAATATATTTATTAAATACAACAATAATAATTATAGTTGTTTGATATATTTAATAAAATAAATAATGTACATTTCGTGTGCAGTGAAAAACTGTGGAAATATGGAAAAATCAAAAATGGGACTACCGGATGTTTTTCTAATACGGTATACGAATAAAAAACCTCTTGGACGTTTTTTCGATATTTTGACATTTTTTCCCAAACCCAAAAGCCAAGGGGGTCCGTGAAAAGTGGTTGGAAAATCGAAAAATGAAAAATCCGACTACAGGATATTTTTCTATAACGGCATACGAATATAAAACCTCTTACACGTTTTTCGATATTTCGACATTTTTTCCCAGACCCATAAGCCAAGGGACTTCGTGAAAAGCGGTCGGAAAATGGAAAAATCAAAAATCCGAAAGCCTAGGTGGTCGTTATAGTTGGCACTTTTGAAATATTATTTTGGACTTAATTTGAGCAGCGATATTTTGGAAAATGAACGAGTGAATAAATTGATTATTTTGAACTTAGAATACTTTTGTGATTATTACGTAGTATAAAATTATTATTGTGGTACATAAAATTATTATTATGGCAACACTGCAGAGTATTGCTGTAGTGATAATATTATAGATGTGATATGGACTTAGAAATTTTTTCGCGTTTTTTTTCCCAGACCCAAAAGCCAGAGTTCAACCATAAATGAATGATGGTGTGTAGATTAGACCTATGGGAAGAAGATACGCTAATTTAAAAAGGGTTAAATTTGGTTTTTTTATTCATCGGATTTTAGTACGGTTAGGTCAGGTTAGGATTTATAGGTATGTGGAATTAAGTAAAAACGTCAAACTTGGTATAACTTTGGTACTTTTTGAGTTGAATCATACACTTACGTACAAACAGCACGGGGTCCGCGATCTACCACAGGTAGATTGCCTACCTGATAATATACTGCTGCGAAACAGAATTTTTATTCCGGGCAACAGAAAAGTTAAGATAAATATAGAACATCATACACCGAATATTAAATAACGCATTGAATAATGTTTGAGTCATATAGAGTTGGTACATTTAACGGGAAACGAAGTGCACGGGATCAGCTATTTACTATAGAATATTGTATTCAAATTATAAACAATGAATATTATTATTCAAATAAAAATAAACGTAATAATATACTGCTTTTACTAAGAATATATTCATTAAAACTGTTATTGCAGCTGGTAAAGAAAAAAACAATTTACATTAGATAATCAAAGCTAAACAAAGTTAGATTAACATAAATTTAACATAAGTCTATAAAAAATGCTACTTGTATAATTTGTGTGAAAACTTATCTTTGATTATTAAATAAAATCAGGCACTCGTCGTCAGTAACAACTTCAGCTTCGTTAACACTTGATGATGAAGTAAGTGGAGGTGACACACTGTATTGCGATGCATTGTTGAAGTCGACGTCCTGTGAAGGTGGAGAACGCACATGGCTTTCGGTTGTCATATGTTTATTCGAACATGATTTACTCATTCGAGTTCCAGATGACTGTTGAATATATGGTAGCAGCTAGGCTGGCGGTATTTTCGGTATACCGATAAATACCGGTATTTAAGAAATACCGGTATCCGGTATTTTCGGTATTTCAGAATACCGGTATACCGTGATTCGGTAATTACCGTCATTACCGAAAATACCCTACCCCGGTAATTACCGAAAATACCGTACCCCGGTATTTACCTAAAATACTAGCATATATATTCATAATGACATAATATAATATTGTAATTTTCGTTATCTGTTATCTAACATTATACTAAGATTATAAGAATGGATAGGACACGCCTATACTGGCTTCGCAAGACTAGGTTGCGGTATTTCACCGGGCAGTTTAAGGGTTTAAGTACTAAGTAGGCCTGTGCTAGGGGGAAATACGATGAAAATACATAGCGCTAGCATTTGGGCTTGCTCCACTTTCCTGCATTACCCCCGCATTACCTCGTTATTTTCGGTAATTACCGTGGTACGGTATTTTCGGTAATTACCGTGATACGGTATTTTCGGTAATTACCGAAAATACCGTATAACCGGTAATACCGTAAATACCGGTAGTAAACAAATACATGATACCGGTATCAAAATTTTGAATACCGTCAGCCCTAAATTACGATTCATGTAATTGAAGATAGTTTTGGTGAAGAGGTGGAAATGTTTGATTATTGGTTGTTGCAATCCCAGTTGGTAATTGGCTTGATTGAGTTGGAGTTAGTGTGCTTTTTGGTATTAAATAATGTCTGAACAACTTCACCTTTTCTATTTTTTTGAATTTCTAGTGCACGTATATTGTTATCTCTACTCACATGTTGTGTCACAGTAAATTTTTTTTCGGCTGCCACTCTGACCTCACAAATCTTACAAAAAGAATGCTTCCATCGGTAGAAAAAATTGATTCCCCTTATTGTTGAACGTATGCCCGCAAACGACAAACATCTGAATGTTTGGCTTTAGGCTTTTTGAAAAACTTCGTGAAATAAACAAACTAAACTAAATACATCTATTATTTTTTTTTTAGAATGAATGTTGAAAAAATGACTTAAAAACCATAAAAATGTCAAAAAATGCTCTAAAAATGTAATAAAGTCTTAAAAATGCAAAACAAAAGTTACATTTTTTAATTCCTTGATGTATGAAATGAACTTTTTGCTTGGAAACCAATATTTTCGGACATTCAGAAAAAAATTCTAATATACTAATATGTATAATAATAATAATAAATAATAATTGTATCAATAATTAAAAAAAAATAGGTATTATGTTGATGAAGTTCTTGAAATATGATGGTACTTGCCCTTCTTGAATGAAACAATTTTTAAATTTGTCTCTTACATCAAATCCTTCAGTACCAGCGAAACCTCCTGTTCTGGATAAATCATCAAATTATGTTGGCTGTGTTGTATCATGTTCATAATAAGATTTTCCATTTTTTTCTAAAATTGTATCCCTAAGCAAATTATGTAAGCCAACAAGCCACCATTGTTAAATCATCACAAACTTCTGGATCTACCATTTAAACTTCCATTTAATTATTTCAATCTTGCTGGAAATACTATATGCTCAAAAGTTTGATTACCTACCTGCTAGTCTTTGAACAAAATTAACCCATTATACAACGAATTACAATGTTAATTGCTAATAGCTATTAACTAACACAATAAGATGTACTCAAATTGTAATTACTAATTTGTTGTAATTTAAATAATACACTTTATACTATTATAATATAATATTATAACATCCTAATGTTCAGCTATCGGAGTGTAAAACACTCTAAATACTTGCGACCATAAACCAAAAGTATTTTCAGTTACCCTCCTACATCTGCTTAATCAATAATTAAAAATGGTCTTAGATCTGTCTCCTTGTATTGAACCTCTTGAATATGGTTTCATAATATTCTTATGAAGCTGAAATGCTTCATCTCCAACAATAACATTTGTACCGGGAAGAGCCTTACTTCAGGAAAATTAAAACATCCTTGTAATATTTGTTGGCCTATTGTTGTCTTATTGAAAATTACACTGTCACCTTCCCTTCCATAGTAACCAACATCAATTATTAGGAATTTACAGTTAGCATCTACAAACGCCAAAAGATCTATGGAAAAATACTCCTTATAGTTAAAGAATAATGATTCTGTTTTTTTGGACATTTCATGGGCCCCGTTTAGGAAATTGAAATATATTCCAAAATTCTAGTGCTTTTTTATTAAATTTCCTCAGTAGGACTTGGTATAAATATTGAGATAAAGTTCTTCACTGCTTTAAGTGTATTTTATAATAATGCTATATAACTATGAGAAATTCTAAATTGAAATGACTATGACGGTAGCTTTCTCCACTGCAAGATATCTGTAAGCATAAAATTAAGCAAATTTTGTTATGATGTATTTTTTCAAAAATAAATGATGTTTTAACTAGCTGATATATTTTAGATATATTTAAAAAAAAAACAAATTAAGATATATTTAGCCAAGGTCAAAACTAAAGTAGCTACTCAGATTTTATTAGGCCAAGTTATAATATGTAGACTTACCTATGTATAATTTAAATATATTAAATAATGATTTACAGGAAATGAATGTACAAAAGATTTTAAAATCTAAAAGATTCCTATAGGAAATACAAAATGGAAAAAAAGCAAGGAACTGGGTCAAGTGCATTAACTAAACCAACAAAATGCTCTTTAGCGCCTTACTTGAGTTTTATAGATAATATTCCTCAAGAAAGAAAGTACGTTATAATAAGTTTGTTGCGCTCACCCATCTTACAGGATATGGTGACAGGATAGGATGATGGTAGAAGTGTCAAATGATCAACAATTTGTAGTTCGATGTTTATTTATGAAAATTTAAAAAAAAGACAAGTTGAATTTATACTGTTTAGATTATTCG